ATTTACGTTTTGTATCTTTTGCCGATACACCTTGGCCTTCATATCTCCTCCAGAGAGAACAATAAAATGGGTTGAGATCAGGGCGACCACTTCACATGACCACGCCGATCTATCCAAGCATCTGGAAACTGCTTATAAAGCCACTGACATACGTGTATTTGTCCTGTTTAGCAAAAGTCATCAGGCACCCGTGACACTTAGACCAGTGTTCTGTAGCCGCGGAAGTCTGCTGGTACTCGGCTAAAAATGTTTGCCTAATCATTGTTTTCTGCAACTTCTAGTTTGTGGGAAAAAGTCTCGGCAGTGTCAGTAATAAATTCATTCATTCACTATCCTGTTGGGCTAATAAAAACTAGACTGAACCAAACTATAGTTCTCGCAGCAATCAGTTCAATATCATGGATGGAGTCCAGTCCAGCAGCTTTGACCTTTCACATCAACGTTCGTCTTACGGTCTTGTGGGCGTCCTCGTCTCCTGAATCCATTTTTGTCCCATTTTAATGCCTGTTTGGTGATTCTCTGCTGGTTTCTTCCTGGGATGTGTCTAGTTTAGCGCTATCTTCTCTGGCTTATAACGGTTGATACCAGTGGTTGCCCAGACATTTATTTTATTTCTTACACCTTTGAATTCATCCTTCTTCTTCTTTGTCTTCTTCTTTGCGTTCACCAGCTGTAAACTCTGGTGGAAAGTTCTGGTTGTTTGTCCACTTCTGGACTGCAGTCCTGTTCCAGAGCCAGAGTGGTGCATGTGCATCCGTTTGACAGATCTGACACATTTGTGTGCAGACTGTTGGTTCCTTACCTCTCAGGCAGATGCACTCTGACTTTGAAGGAAGCTCCCAATTAGTCGACTCTTACGACATGCTTTTGGGGAGGCAGTGGGTCTATTCTTGTTTTCCCAAAATAGGGCCCCAGAACCCACACAGGGGGGAATTCATCCAATTTTAATTTCAGAACTTTTCTTAGATTTTATTGTTCTAATACATAAACTTTCCAGTAATAAAATATAAACAGAGAAATTGCATGAATGTTATTTCAGTGCTTTATCTATCATATACAACGCTCAGGCCATATACAAGTAAAGGATCTTTTTCATGCTTTAGGCACATTAGGAATATAGCGCTAAACCATACTTTTATAGACCGGTCAGCACTTGATGGGTCATTTGGTCAGCATCATACGGATCCATCCAAGCCTGTAAGACATTTCATTCTTACCTCTTAAACAGCAGTCGATGTTGCAGTAGCTGAAAATTGTAATTGTGGGACCTCCAGTTTAACACATAAACTGCTATCTATATTAACCTCTGTTTCTGTATTTGGTTAGCTGTCGGGTGGTCCACAAAACAGTTTCCCCAATGTTGCTGGTCCGTGTGTGTAAAAGTTTTAAGAACACTGACTGAGATTACTCAGGACTGCTTGTCTATATGCTGGTGTCGTTGTCCTCGAAGGTATGCTTTCTCGTTTGCTGTTTGGCACAGCCTTTTGGCAAGTTATTTCAGAAAGAGACAGTCATCATTTTGTGGGGGGGGGGGTCATGTTATGAGAAGAAGGAAACTGGAACATGTTGTGACCTCTGGAAAGATCTGTGGAAAGAGAGACAGAGGAAGACAGCACAAGACGATTCTTGACAGTCTTTTGTCATGGCATGGACGGGTGTCAGCACACAAACTGATACACGCAGTTGCAGATCACAGATTGTGGAGAGGCATGATCACCCACGCCAGTCGGCAAGGCACTTGATGATGATAGTTTATTTCCTAGTCCTCAGCGCCATCACTTCCATAGCCACTGTGTGGGAACATTTTGATCTTTCTACAAGGTTATTAACATCCCCAGCAGTATACAGCTTGTATCATTTATTTCTATTCTTGCTTTTTGCTTTCTTTATCATTATATCAACCCCTGTCATTTCAGTTTGGTTGTGAAGTGCACATATAATTCATGGCTTAGCATTGAATATATTGTTTAACTACCAGAGCACCTCCCACTTTTCCTTCAGGGTTGAAATGTATGGCATAAAATCCTGTGATTTTTTTTGTCTGGGTTATGACCCCAGTTTAGTAGGAGAAGACCCCTGAGGCTCTAAGACCCACCTCCCTCTGCCTACACCACAAAAGTGGTGGATACAGGCAGTGATATCAGTAAACCAGAGAGGTAAAAACTGTGTACACAAGGGAGATGAATGGTTATAGACCACGAGGCAGACCAAGAAGACGATGGAGAGATAATGTCCAGACAGATCTGCAAACACTTGGTGTCACCAACTGGAAAGAGAAGGCCAACCAGAGAGATGAATGGAGACGGTGATATCTGCAGCAGTGAACCTCAAGGGCTTGGAACGCTGAAGAAGAAGAAGAATGGCACTACAGAATAGACCTAACGTCCCTTAGGAAGCTTACCATAAAAGGCGACTAATTAAGGATTTGGTGCAGTTGCAGTTGCTGTGCTGAAAGATGTGGATATTGCAGCCTAGTTGTCAATGACAACACATTCCCCTACTCTTTTATGGGTGAACACAGAAAAAGAAGAAGTCCCTTGACTGAAAATTTGTGAGGGTGCTTTGAAGTGTGTCTTCTGGGTGCACCTGTTTATGTCATGTTATGTGTTGTCATCACAATCAATGTCAATGCACATTAGGCATTCCCATGCGTGCTCAGTCCTCCAGTGCAACAGCCACCTCAAGGTACCTCTATTGATTGTTCCCATGAGAAGTTGGTTATAATGTCTCCTGTCGTGACCTCAAAGGCAGCATATACACGCTTCACCAAGTTTTACTTCTGGGTTACGCAACGATGTTAGTGTCAGAGATCTATAATTATCCCCCAACCTAGTCCATTCAGCGTAATTGATATTAGCTCTGTCCATGCTGCTTCCCGTTTGCATTGGTACATTACCCCCTAGCTGGTCGGCTGCACTTGTTAACTCTTTTAGTCCAAAACAATGCACCATGTGTGATATGCTATTGTCTAAATGACCCACACAACGTAGGATCTGGCATGACAATTACTTTTGAAATCTGGTCAGTCAATTGTTATAAATGACAGAGTCTTTGTTTCATGCAAAATGTGAATTTTCTGCCTCTGTTACAGATATGCACTCAGTTTCTGTTCACTATGGCTATTGTTTCTGTTGGATATTTTCTGTGAAATCTTCTGGGACTGAAAGATTAAATGTTTGTTATGGTGGAAACAGCTGTGTTTAGGGCTCAGTGGAGTACCTATATAAAAATTTCTCTGTTTTAGCTGTTTGGTTACAAGCTCTTATCCTTCACTTTTGTGAATGCCTTGGGTTCAAATTGTATGTCTGTGGTGGATTTTTATAACTGACCCAGGGCTCCCAAGTCACAAGAGCCTAAAATAGGCTGGAAAATGTCATCTGACAAGTATACCTAACATCTGACAAGTATACGTAACATCTGACAAGTATACGTAACATCTGACAAGTATACGTAACATGTGACAAGTATTATTTTTCTCATATTGTTGAGCATACGCCACTTTGAAAAAGCCACTTTGAAAGTAAAGCCATGTTGAGAATACCTCATTTTAAAGCCACTTTGAAAGTAAAGCCACATTGAGAATACCTCTTTATTAAACCACTTTAAAAGTAAAGCCACATTGAGAATACCTCTATATTAAGCCACTTTGAAAGTAAAGCCATAACACCTGAATATTTAGCCACTTTGAAAGTAAAGCAGAGTGGCTAGTCAGGCAGTTCAAAAAAGTTCAGCTGTCATTCAGGAGACCAGGAAAGAGAGTAGAAGTTAAGGATGGAAGGGTGTCAGTACATTAGTTGATACCTGTTGTTGGAGGTCACAAGATATGGAGAGGCATGATCCCCTATGCCAGTCAGTATGGAACTTGGTGATGATGGTTATAGTGAGACTGAATCAGTTAAAGAGAATCAGTTAAAGAAAGTTACAGCTAGAACAGAACATTTGAAAGTATCAGTATTTGTAACTAATAGTAAATGGTCTAGCTTAAATCTGCAAAATGATGAATAAATCCATCACCCAAGCCACCTGAGAAGTGCAAGACATATACAGAAAACCAAACATTGGGTTACAACCTAGCATCTGTGAGAGGACAAAATAAGAAGAAGAAGCAACTAATGGAGATGAACACTGATATTTGTTTGATCATGTAAGAAGAGCAGATGAACGCACATTGAGTTAATCAGTTGATCGTAATTTCTGCTTCACTGCAAATGGGTCGTCACATGATTGCTCCATTAGTATGCCATACAGAGTGCTCATTGCTGTCCCTTTTTTAAAACAGTTTGAAACAGATTGCAGTCTCGGCAGTGTCAATAACATACACACACACATTAAATGCTTAGGGTAGCCATCAGAAGTGTCAGCACAAACATCCAGCTGCCTTATGAATTTTACTGCTTTGGCTAAGGCGTTGCGAGTCCGACTCGTAAGCCAGCATTCCGCGATCGAAACCCACTGCAGGCTGCGCAGATTTTTATTGTGGTATGGGACGTCGCAGGTCGACCCAGCCTAAAATGGGTACCAGGATGGGCTGTCCTGGGAAAGTAAAGACAGCTGGCGTAATGCTGACCACATAACCCAGAGAGTGCTGATGGTCTGTAAAAATATGGGACGCTCTGCCCATATGCCCAATGCACCGAAAGGCGTGAAAAGGGATCTTTACTTTTTTTTAACTTTTTTTAGGATGTTGCTGTTACTGACACTCTTGTTTAAAACTAGTTTTCACTGGAGATAGGGAAGGACATTTTGTTTGGTTTCTATGGGCATAGGAATGGAGCAGTCATGGAGCAACTCGTCTGCAGCGATATTGGAACCTCGGTTAACAACTGAGTAAAATCATTTTTTTGGTACTGAGAGTTAAATTTCGGCTTCACATTCTTTCTCCACTTGCTTATAACTGAGTTCTGTCTTTCCTGATTATCCAGATAATTTCCCATGTGGATTTTATTGCATTTTTTACATCGTCAATCAATTGGAATGAATTTTTTTCTTTCAACCCCCAGCTAAATCCCTGAACGAGTTTGGCAAGTTCATTGAGAAGATTGAAGATCACCGAGATATCCTGGTAAATAGCATGGTTTTCTAAGGATTTATGTCTGTTAACTTCTTCACGATTTATTCAGAGATGTGTTTTTTGTGTGTACACTTTGCTGTGAACTCTGAAGTGAATTTGAATGGAAAAACCATCATCATCTTCATTGCCATGCCAGTAAGCATAGGTTGTCATGTTTTATCATCTTACATAATTATTAAAGTTACAAATCAGGTCAGTATTCTTACCCCATCAGTATGTCTAAGCCATCCAGATGTTCATCTCTTCTTCTTTGCATCGACCTTGCCACACACCTTACCATGTTTGGAACCCTTTGCTTTTCATAACATGTCAGAAAAACTGTGAATTCTTCTTGTTTTCTTTATTTTATCAGTTTGCAACTACATTTGATTTTCTATCATTCCATGATATTCTTTGCATTTGTCACAAAAACCACATCTCTGCTGCAAGTAAATGCTTTTTGTTTATTTTAAAACTGATCTGCTTGTTGTCCATGCCTCACTTGCATATAACAACACTAGTTCTGTACAGCACTTTAACACCTTTCGCTGCAGTTGACATCATTTGTGAATATGGAATGATATTAATTATAATTTTTCCGATCTTCTCAAAACTGCCTACATCTCTAAAAGGTAAAAAGTTAAGGACCCATGTCCACGTCTTCAGGCATATTGTACATATTGGGCATATAGGGCTAGACTTATATTATATGAACCAACGGGTAAGGGCTAGCTAGACCTGTATTAAATGGACCAACGGGCACTTGCTGGGTGATGTGGTCAAAATCTTGACAGTCACCTTTACTTTCCAGGACTGGGCCTGGTAGCCATTCAGGGCTGGGTCAGCCTGGCATACATCTATGCTGACACACATTTCAATACTGTGGTGTCAGATATCTTTTTTTTTTTTTTTCAGTCTGATTTTTGTGTGTTAATGTTGCCAGATGTTATATTGTGTACAATCTTCTGTTTTCTGTATATAGGTAATGGATTATATTTCTTTTTAATATCTTTGAATAGTTTCTGTGTACTTTAACCAAGGCTTTTATATGTGAAATGTGTGCAAGCTCACACACTCTGACTCTCTCACTCTGTCTGTCCTGCAGGCATACACTCCCTCTCTCCGACACACACATGCCCATTGTCTCTCGGACCCACACACATGCATCTTCGCTTTCTAGCACACACATAGGTCTATACTTTCTTTAACACACCCACCCACACACACACCTTTGCAGATACTCTGCACCTATCTGTGAGGCACGCACATGCTCACACCATCTCTCTCTCTCTCTCTCTCTCATGCACATGTTCTCTCTTTCTGACACACACAAGCCAATTCTGTCTCTTTAATGTACAGACATGCATATTTTCTCTCTCTGTCTTCGTCTGTCTGTCTGTATCTCTCTCTCTCTCTCTCTCTCTCTCTGACACACACACGTTTAAACGTGTGTGCTCTCTTTCTCTCTCTCTAACACACATACATATACTCTCACTCACTTTCTCCCTTTATTTTATATACATGCACATTCTCTCTTTCTCTCTCTCTGACACGCACGCACGCACGCACACACACACACACACACTCTCTCTCTCTCTGTCTGTCTGTCTGTCTGTCTCTCTCTTTCTCAATATCTTCCTTTTTCTTACAAAGATGCCCATTCTCTCTCTCTCTCTCTGTCTCTCTCTCTCTCTCACACACACACACACACTTTCTGACTTACACACTCATGCATGACTATACTCCCTTTCCTTCTGTCCCTGACACACACATGCACATACTTTCTCTCTCTGACATTCTGTCTGATTCTTCCATCCCTTTCACTCTCTTCCCTCTTCTCTCTATTTCTCTCTTTGCACACACACATGCGCATACTAGTGTTTGAACATTTAAAATAATATTTCATTTTCCATTCTGATTGTTAACAATTCACATTTCTGATATAAAATGTGAATTACAAGCTAATCTCTACTGTACATATATAATTAGATTACAGTGTTTACATTATAATGTCATGTTTGATAACTCTGCTACATGCTACATTACAATGTCATGTTTGATAACTCTGCTACATGCTACATTATAATGTCATGTTTGATAACTCTGCTTGCCAGACCCTCATAGATTGGAGACAATGTGGCGTAACAGTTTCTGTACCCCCCCCCCCCCCCCCCCCCCAAAGATGGGGTAGTAGATTAGATGTCTACCCTTCTCAGACAAGGAGACAGCTAGAAGGGCTTGCATGCACATTGTAAATAATGAGAAGTAGTTTAAAATCATAAAAGATCTACCCAAATAGACTTTTTCTCTGGTTGTGTGCGAGAATTTGCCAATTATCACAGAAACAAAATTGACCTAGGGTTCCCAAGTCGACCCACACAGAAATGGTTGCAAGAAAGTATTATAAGCACCAAAGGCCGTCAATGGTATTTTGACCACCACATTAGCAATTGAGTACCGATTTGTCAGTTAAAATGTCTTGCATTGCACCATTGGTGTGACAAAAAAGCCCTGTGCTTTACTTTTGTTCTTACTGTTTGCTTACAGATAAAAGCCCTGTGCTTTACTTTTGTTCTTACTGTTTGCTTACAGATAAAAGCCCTGTGCTTTACTTTTGTTCTTACTGTTTGCTTACAGATAAAAGCCCTGTGCTTTACTTTTGTTCTTACTGTTTGCTTACAGATAAAAGCCCTGTGCTTTACTTTTGTTCTTACTGTTTGCTTACAGATAAAAGCCCTGTGCTTTACTTTTGTTCTTACTGTTTGCTAACAGATAAAAGCCCTGTGCTTTACTTTTGTTCTTACTGTTTGCTTACAGATAAAAGCCCTGTGCTTTACTTTTGTTCTTACTGTTTGCTTACAGATAAAAGCCCTGTGCTTTACTTTTGTTCTTACTGTTTGCTTACAGATAAAAGCCCTGTGCTTTACTTTTGTTCTTACTGTTTGCTTACAGAAGAAAGCCCTGTGCTTTACTTTTGTTCTTACTGTTTGCTTACAGATAAAAGCCCTGTGCTTTACTTTTGTTCTTACGGTTTGCTTACAGATAAAAGCCCTGTGCTTTACTTTTGTTCTTACTGTTTGCTTACAGATAAAAGCCCTGTGCTTTACTTTTGTTCTTACTGTTTGCTTACAGATAAAAGCCCTGTGCTTTACTTTTGTTCTTACTGTTTGCTTACAGATAAAAGCCCTGTGCTTTACTTTTGTTCTTACTGTTTGCTTACAGAAGAAAGCCCTGTGCTTTACTTTTGTTCTTACTGTTTGCTTACAGATAAAAGCCCTGTGCTTTACTTTTGTTCTTACTGTTTGCTTACAGATAAAAGCCCTGTGCTTTACTTTTGTTCTTACTGTTTGCTTACAGATAAAAGCCCTGTGCTTTACTTTTGTTCTTACTGTTTGCTTACAGATAAAAGCCCTGTGCTTTACTTTTGTTCTTACTGTTTGCTTACAGATAAAAGCCCTGTGCTTTACTTTTGTTCTTACTGTTTGCTTACAGATAAAAGCAGCTGAGGATCAGTTTGTGAAGCCACTAGAAAATTTCAGAAAAGAAAATATTGTAGCAGCCAAGGTAAGTCATTTGTTCACTTTGTACAGTTTCTTCCAAGAGATTTAGTCATTAGTCATAAGTGGCAGTCCCCTTATCATGGCAGATGATCACCCTGTGATTGCTCTGATCCTGCTTCATTGTGAGATAGGTTGGCCAGGCTTGGCCCCACTTTAGGGATGTACTGCAACTACACAGTGCAGAGCTGTTTTTTCGCCGGTTGGAGGAGGTATTAATTAAAATGGAAGATCTTTTTTCTTCTCCTCATCATCCTTCTCCTTCTGCTTCTTATTCATCTTCTTCTTCCTTTTATTTTCCTGCGTTCACCAGCTGTAAACTCCACAAAGGCAGATGTGCTTTATTTCCTTAATTAGTCGCCTGTCACAACATGCTTGTTTAGCATACAGTGGGCCTATTCTCCCCTCTATTCTCCGTCTTCCTTTCTTTTTTGCTTCCAGTCTTACTATCTTGTTTTCTTTCTCTTTCTGTCTCTCTCTCTCTCTGACTCTCTATCTCTCACTCACACAGTCAATTCTTTCTCTCCTTTCCTCTACCACCTTCCCCGTTTAGTTAAAATAGTCGGAATTTTCTGTCTCTCCATCACTTGCTTTCATTTTGTACTTTCTTGTTTCACTGCCTGCCTGCCTGCCTGCCTGCCTGCCTGCCTGCCTGCCTGCCTGCTGCCTGCCTGCCTGCCTGCCTGTCTGTCTGTCTGTCTGTCTGTCTGTCTGTCTGTCTATCTGTCTGTCTGTCTGTCTGTCTGTTCCTTTCCCACTTTCTCCATTTAGTCAGAATAGTTTGTATTTTACGTCCCTGTTTAAAAAAGAAAAAAAGATCTCTCGACTCCCTATTCTTTGCTTCCATTTCTCACTTTCTAGTTCACTCCTTTCAGAGGTGCCAGTCGAGTGGAATCCAGCAATTGTAACTAATATCTAGTTGTTGCAGATAATGTTTATATTATGCAACCTATTGGACTTCTAATATTATTGGATTACGTTTATTACTGAACTTTTAAAAAAGTTCAGTAATGTAAGTATCATTAGAGCACATTGTAAGTAAGTAAGTTTAACCCCACCAGGACATCATACAGAATGATAAACACCCGGTGACACAAAGTGCAACTATTTGGATGAGGATCACCCGTGGAGAAGTCCCAAAAACATTGTTCAACCGTTAATTTATATTAGGGCCTGTGTGCCCAATTCTTAACCCTTTAAAAGTACAGCTTGTTTGTTCTCTCTCTCTCACTCTATCTCTCTCCTTCTCTCTCTCTCTCTCTCTCTCTCTCTCTCTCTTTCTCTCTCACACACACACTCAGTGAGTTCTCTCCCTTCCTCTCCCACTTCCCTTTATTTGACAGAATTGAAAAACAATGATACAAAAGACCATGGAACAGGTGACTGACATTGTAAACAACTGTTCATAGCCAGAAGTAATTATCATCCAGTAGCACAGCTCAGTACAGCATGCCTGAACATATTGCTTCCCCTGTTTCTCTTTCTCCAGGAAGAGAAAAAGAACTTTGACAAGCAAACAGCAAAGTTCTGCCAGTCTCAGGAAAGATACCTCAATATGAAGACATCCAAGAGCAACGACTCTGCCATGCAGGAGGTTTGTTCTAGCCGTTGATCTTTTTTTTGTTTTTTTGTTTCTTCAAACAAATGTGTGTCTGTTTATTTCAGAGCAGCAGGTCTAGTCGCATGAAACATGAGGGGATTATTAATGCATGAAACGTGGGAGGTTTTATACACAGAACATGGGTGGGTTAATATATTGAGGGGATTAGTTCATAGGATATCAGTTAATATATGAGATGTGAGAGCGTTAGTACATGAGGGGATTAATGGATGAAATGTCGGGGTATTGATACACAAAACATTGGTGGGTTAATCTATGGGTGGGTTAATCTACGGGACAGGAGGGGGATTAGTACATGGAATATGATTCAGTTAATAAATGAGATGTGAGAGGGACATGGGACTTGAGGGGAAAATACGTGAAACATGGGGGGATTTAAAAACAGAACATGCATGGGTTACTATATGGGGGAATGAGGGGGATTAGTTCAATGGGATATCAGTTGCTGGTACTGGACAGAAGTGATGTTATCAGTGCCATGAGCTGCACTTACCGTACCCAGGAGCACGCCAAAGGACATGACTCCGAATCCCTGTCTAGACTGATGGACATGGGGGTGCAGCCTGGAGCTGCAAGAAATGAACATTTCACTAAGGGTACAAGACGTTTCATTAACCAACACAGTACAGGCGTCATCAGTCGTTTTACACTTGTGGAGCTTTTGCGGAGGAGATCGGAGCACCTATGGATCTGTCCGGAGTGCTGTGATGATAATCCTTTCTAATTACTAATCACTATATCAGTGAATATATGAGATGTGAGAGGATTAGTACATGGGATATGAGGAGATTAGTACATAGGGCATGAGGGGATTAGTACATAGGGCATAAGGGGTTAGTATTTAGAGGATTGGGATGTGGGGTGTGAGGGAGGATTAGTACATGGGACATGGGATTAGTATGTCAGGCATGAGAGGATTAGTACATAAGGCATGTGAAGATTAGTATGTGGGACATAAGGGGATTAGTACATGGTATGTAAGAGGATTATTAGTATGTGCGACATGAAGGGATTAGTGCATGGAACATGAGGAGATTAATAAGTAAGACTTTAGAAAATCAGTACATAGTAAATGAGTTATCAGTACATGAGAAATGAAGGGATTGATATGTGGGAATGAATTAATTAATACACAGAGTGGATTAATGTTCGGGACTTTATTATTACTGTGAGTTGACTGAATCAATACACAGGACTTTGATGGATCCATTTGAACCAGGAAAAACCTAAAAGCTGTACTGCTTTCATTACTTTTGGCAGAGAATACAGAGAGTTGTGCCTTGAGATAATGAAAATATAAACTTTGACACTTGATAGACAGAACCTCTGGAGGGAATGGTGTCATTTTGTTTTGTATATTGAAGGCGCTGTCCCCTTACTCCTTCTTTGTGGTGAGAGGTCAGGATGGGAACTCTCAGATTGTGGTGAGAGGTCAGGATGGGAACTCTCAGCTTGTGGTGAGAGGTCAGGATGGGAACTCTCAGCTTGTGGTGAAAGGTCAGGATGGGAACTCTCAGCTTGTGGTGAGAGGTCAGGATGGGAACACAGCTTGTGGTAAGAGGTCAGGATGGGAACACTCAGCTTGTGGTGAGAGATCAGGATGGGAACTCTCAGCTTGTGGTGAGAGGTCAGGATAGGAACACTCAGCTCGTCGTGAGAGGTCAGGATAGGATAGGAACTCTCAGCCTGTGGTGAGAGGTCAGGATGGGAACTCTCAGCTTGTGGTGAGAGGTCAGGATGGGAACTCTCAGTTTGTGGTGAGAGGTCAGGATAGGATGGGAACTCTCAGCTTGTGGTGAGAGGTCAGGATGGGAACTCTCAGTTTGTGGTGAGAGGTCAGGATAGGATGGGAACTCTCAGTTTGTGGTGAGAGGTCGGGATAGGATGGGAACTCTCAGTTTGTGGTGAGAGGTCAGGATAGGAACTCTCAGCTTGTGGTGAGAGGTCAGGATAGGAACTCTCAGCTTGTGGTGAGAGGTCAGGATATGAACTCTCAGCTTGTGGTGAGAGGTCAGGATAGGAACTCTCAGCTTGTGGTGAGAGGTCAGGATGGGAACTCAGCTTGTGGTGAGAGGTCAGGATGGGAACTCTCAGCTTGTGGTGAGAGGTCAGGATGGGAACACTCAGCTTGTGGTGAGAGGTCAGGATGGGAACTCTCAGCTTGTGGTGAGAGGTCAGGATAGGAACACTCAGCTCGTCGTGAGAGGTCAGGATAGGATAGGAACTCTCAGCCTGTGGTGAGAGGTCAGGATGGGAACTCTCAGCTTGTGGTGAGAGGTCAGGATGGGAACTCTCAGTTTGTGGTGAGAGGTCAGGATAGGATGGGAACTCTCAGCTTGTGGTGAGAGGTCAGGATGGGAACTCTCAGTTTGTGGTGAGAGGTCAGGATAGGATGGGAACTCTCAGTTTGTGGTGAGAGGTCGGGATAGGATGGGAACTCTCAGTTTGTGGTGAGAGGTCAGGATAGGAACTCTCAGCTTGTGGTGAGAGGTCAGGATATGAACTCTCAGCTTGTGGTGAGAGGTCAGGATAGGAACTCTCAGCTTGTGGTGAGAGGTCAGGATGGGAACTCAGCTTGTGGTGAGAGGTCAGGATGGGAACTCTCAGCTTGTGGTGAGAGGTCAGGATGGGAAATCTCAGCTTGTGGTGAGAGGTCAGGATGGGAACTCTCAGTTTGTGGTGAGAGGTCAGGATAGGAACTCTCAGCTTGTGGTGAGAGGTCAGTATAGGAACTCTCAGCTTGTGGTGAGAGGTCAGGATGGGAACTCTCAGCTTATGGTGAGAGGTCAGGATTGGAACTCTCAGCTTGTGGTGAGAGGTCAGGATAGGATGGGAACTCTCAGCTTGTGGTGAGAGGTCAGGATGGGAACTCTCAGCTTGTGGTGAGAGGTCAGGATGGGAACTCTCAGCTTGTGGTGAGAGGTCAGGATGGGAACTCTCAGCTAGTGGTGAGAGGTCAGGATTGGAACTCTCAGCTTGTGGTGAGGTGTCAGGATGGGAACTCTCAGCTTGTGGTGAGGTGTCAGGATAGGAACTCTCAGCTTGTGGTGAGGTGTCAGGATGGGAACTCTCAGCTTGTGGTGAGGTGTCAGGATGGGAACTCTCAGCTTATGGTGAGAGGTCAGGATAGGAACTCTCAGCTTATGGTGAGAGGTCAGGATAGGAACTCTTAGCTTATGGTGAGAGGTCAGGATAGGAACTCCCAGCTTGTGGTGAGAGGTCAGGATAGGAACTCTCAGCTTATGGTGAGAGGTCAGGATAGGAACTCTCAGCTTATGGTGAGAGGTCAGGATAGGAACTCCCAGCTTGTGGTGAGAGGTCAGGATGGGAACGCTCAGCCTGTGGTGAGAGGTTAGGATGGGAACTCGCAGCCTGTGGTGAGAGGTCAGGATAGGATAGGAACTCTTAGCTTGTGGTGAGAGGTCAGGATAGGAACTCTTAGCTTGTGGTGAGAGGTCAGGATGGGAACTCTCAGCTAGTGGTGAGAAGTCAGGATGAGAACTCTCAGCTAGTGGTGAGAAAGAAGTCAGGATGGGAACTCTCATCTTGTGTTGAGAAGTCAGGATGGGAACTCAGCTTGTGGTGATCGGTCAGGATGGGAACTCTCAGCTAACTTAAGAGCACAGCTTATTGAAGAAATAATGCTTAAGAATGTGTGAACATGGAATGAGGAATGGATCTGGCAAGGAAGGATGTGCGAGAAAGAGAACAACTTATGTATAATCATTGTGCTATGGAAATAGTTAGCAGCTACACCTTAAGACATTTGCTGCGGAAGGTTGAGCATCTGTGGGTACGCCTGGTGTGCCATGATTTTGATTCTAAAATCATTAATCAGATGCGCCAGTGTCCATGGTGTTACAGTGCCTAAATGCGTTTTTTTTTTCTTGTTCAGTGGTTGAAGTCAATTCTGCATAGCCCACTAATCATTAAAGTGTCTGTAATGTTCAGGTCTGTGATAGCATTGATCAGTGATATAGTTGAAACCACATGACAGGCATCCCATTTGAGATAATTCACTATCCTCTGTACGAGCCTGTAGTGACCTGTTACTTACCAGGTAATAAGTTCTCTGTCCATTCCCAGTTCCCCCTGCAATAGATGCTCCAAGACCAGAAAAAAGCTCCACCACGACCTCAGGATTCTTTAAGATTTAGGCAGAAGATTCATCCAGTGTTTCAGAGAGATCATATATCAGTGTGACCCAACCATTAATTTCTTAGCTATCCAGTATGGACCTCCTGAAGCAAATACTGATAAGCAGATACAATCTTGACTGCCATATGTTAGTTCTAGTAGTTAGCTATCGTTCTTTCTGCCTCAAAGCTGACACTACTGGCTGCGGTCACTGCAAATACACCACAGTATTCTGAAATGCGTTAACTCTTTGAGTCCCAGGGGGTTTAGCATCACAGGCCCAGGGGGTAGTAAATAGAGTCATAAAATCGGCATAAAATTTTTCCTGCTTTGAATCACATCAGGGTGTGCTGCGAGACATATATTTTTATATTGACAGTCAGTGAGTGATGTGCTCAACATTCTGCTGACCACTTAGTGAGTGATGTGCTCAACATTTTGTTGACCACCTAGTGAGTGAAGTGGTCAACATTCTGCTGACCACTTAGTGAGTGATATGGTCAACATTCTGCTGACCACCTAGTGAGTGATGTGGTCAACATTCTGCTGACCACCTAGTGAGTGATGTGGTCAACATTCTGCTGACCACCTAGTGAGTGATGTGGTCAACATTCTGCCAACCACCTAGTGAGTGATGTGGTCAACATTCTGCTGACCACCTAGTGAGTGATGTGGTCAACATTCTGCCAACCACCTAGTGAGTGATATGGTCAATATTCTGCCGACCACCTAGTGAGTGATGTGGTCAACATTCTGCTGACCACCTAGTGAGTGATATGGTCAACATTCTGCTGACCACCTAGTGAGTGATGTGGTCAACATTCTGCCAACCACCTAGTGAGTGATATGGTCAATATTCTGCCGACCACCTAGTGAGTGATGTGGTCAACATTCTGCTGACCACCTAGTGAGTGATGTGGTCAACATTCTGCTGACCACCTAGTGAGTGATGTGGTCAACATTCTGCTGACCACCTAGTGAGTGATAGGGTCATCATTCTGCTGACCACCTTTATGTCCCAGGTCTTTATCCATATGAGGCTGGGTCAGTGTTGGAGTACGTCAGTTACCAAAAAAAAAAATGACTCCATTTGGGTTCACAGCCAAAACTTTCAAGCCAGCAGCATCTGTCCATTAAATGCATCTGCCTGAGAGGTGAGGAACCAACAGTCTGCATACAGATATGCCAGATCTGTAAAACGGATGTGCATGCAAAACTCAAGTTCTGAAATAAGTCTATAAAGTTCAGAAGTGGACAAACAACCAGAACTTTCCGCTCCAATTAACGACTGGCAAATGAGAAGAAATAGAAGAAGAAACAGATTAATTTCCCTGTTGCTTCTAACTTTCTGTCCTCCAATGTTTGTATCATTGTTAAGTCTGCAGATTTGTCATAAAACTGTTCTCAGAAGTTTCGTTGAAAATCTCTGATAGAAAAATCACTGATATTTAATTGTTTTCTTTTAGGCTGACACCCAGGTGGAGTTTGAGAAAAAGGCTTTCTACACAGCTTCCATGAAATATGTTCTGAAACTTCAGGAGGTGCAGGAGAAAAAAAAATTTGAGTTTGTAGAAATTGTAAGTATTCATTAAAATATACATAAAGAAGTCTGGTTAGGTTCACGTTAATCTTCCCAAATAGAGTAGGTCACTTTTCATTCACAAGTTTGTTGGGCTGGTCGCCTTTCCTAAAGGTTACGGGTGTGTCCCGCTCTGTTGTTTGCTTTCTGTGATGTCTTGCATTTACATTTTCATTCAGAGAAAGAGAATGCCTGTGGCATAGGTTGCAGCACTCTCTAGGGGGGTTGTGTTAGGACCAGTTTCTCCATGTTTTCAGAGTGTGCTGAAATATACAACACCCAATATCAACGGCATTGCGGAACACCCCCTGTAACCTTATGCCAAGGTGACAGGTTCAGGAATTACCAATCCGAAGGTGGGAGCTAGTGTGTATATTGGTGGGGAGATTAACGTTACTTTTACCAGAAGTTTATAATTTATTGTTCCCTATGTGGGTTCCAAGACTTCATTTTTTTTAAAAATCTCCTCCCCCCCCCTCCCCCCCCCCCCCCCCAAGGAACAGACCCACTGCCCCTCTTAAAAAAAGTATGTCGTGAAAGGTGACTAATTAAGAGTGGTCCCCCCTCCCTCCCCCGAGGTAGAGTGCATCTGCCCGAGAGGCGAAGAAACCACAGTCTGCATACAAGTAAGCCAGATCTGTAAAATAGATGCACACGCAAAACTCAAGTTCTGGAATATGACCAAAGTCCAGAAGTGAACAACCAGAATTTTCCCCAGCAGTTTAGTTTTTTCTGGGGGGAAAAAAGGGTGCCAGTACGCACCACAAAGTGTCTATTTCAGTGGCACTGAAAAAACGATTCAGTAATTTGATGCAATCATATCTTATTTTTCTTTCTCCAAATTTATGATCCCAAAATCAAGGTGCGTCTTTAACATGGGATCTGAGTTGGGGAAATAAGGTAGTCATGTTGCGCCAAAAGCTACAAAAATCAGAGCCAGTCTGCTAGCTGCCCAGTTAAGGCAGACAAAGAAGAAGAAGATGAAAAAGAAGAAGCACACAGCAGCGTTTGATAACAGTGAAAGTAATGTTTATGTGACACAAAAGTAGTACATGGTAGCATTTGATAACAGTGAAAGTAATGTTTATGTGACACAGAAGAAGCACACGGTAGCATTTAATATCAGTGAAAGTAATGTTTATGTGACACAGAAGAAGCACACGGTAGCATTTAATAACAGTGAAAGTAATGTTTATGTGACACAGAAGTAGCACACGGTAGCATTTAATAACGGTGAAAGTAATGTTTATGTGACACACAAGTAGCACACGGTAGCATTTAATAACAGTGAAAGTAATGTTTATGTGACACAGAAGTAGCAGACGGTAGCATTTAATAACGGTGAAAGTAATGTTTATGTGACACAGTAATTTAATAACAGTTAATGTTTATGTGACACAGAGAAGTAGCACACGGTAGCATTTAATAACGGTGAAAGTAAAGTAATGTTTAATAACAGTGAAAGTAATGTTTATGTGACACAGAAGGAGCACATGGTAGCATTTAATAACGGTGAAAGTAATGTTTACATGATATGATGCTTTTCAGCTGTTGAGCTACATGCTGGGCTGGCTGACATTTTATCATCAAGGCTATGTAGATCTGGAGGACTTCCGCAGTTACGACAGCACTTTACGACAGCTGCTGCAGAAGGTTTGTTTCCTCTATTTTCTTCATTTTCCTCCCCTCCTTTCTTATTCGTCGGCTCTGTGGCTAAGTCGATGCGAAGGCTTCGTAATGCCGGGATGCCGAGTTCGATCCCAGCTGCGGGCCATGCACCTTGCATTGGTTTCGACTGTGGTATCAAGAAAGCCGACCGTCTAGAAAGCAGTGGCAAACTACTGGATGTAAATTTGCTTAGAAAAACCACACAACAGCCAGGGGCTGTTGGGGTTGGTTCTGTAACGTCCTGTAAAGGATACGCAACTACCCTAACCTAACCTTCCTTATTCATTTTTTTCTGGTACTACCACTGTCTGATCATCTTTCCTCCTATTATCCTTTTTCTTGTACAGTGGTTTTTAACCTTCCAGGAAAGTCTTATACCACAAGATAGACTCTAGAGCAGTACTATCCCAAACTGTCACTACTGCCTGTTTTATCGCCAATTTCCACTTCTGTCATTAAGGGTCTGCAGAGAAAGGGGAGGGGGATGTAACAATTTGCGATCCATTGCCTGTTGGCTTAATAGGCAGCAGTGGTTATTGTCATTCCTTGTCGATGTAGAAGCTCTTTAATGTCATCAGTCCAGGTTCTCCTAGGGCAACCTCTGTCTTTCACTTAAGATCTTTTCATGTGTAGCCCCTGCGTTGGTAGTTGTTCTGACTGCATTCTTACTAGCTGACCAAACCATTTGATCTTCTGTTTCTCAGTGAATCTGCCGCATGATGTTATTCCTACAGTCTGTCTGACAGTATTATTTCTAACTGTTTCAGATGATTAAGTTGGTGGCTCTTCTCAGGCATCTCATCTCTCAAGTGTTAATTTTACATAGGTTAGTCTTTGATATTGTCCAAGTCTGGCACTAATAACACAGTTGTAATAAATCGTAGTCTACTTGTAATAAAGCGATGCTTCAACTGGAATGATTCTGATTCAACTTAGAATGAATCGTGGCTTGACTTGACATGGAACCTTGGTTCGGCTTGGAAAGAACCTTGGTTTACACCGACTTTAACGTCTAGGGTTGACAACACAAACGCCGCTCAGCTTCTTGGTACATTCTGTCAGTTTATTCTGGTCCATTTATTTCACATGTTCAAACATTATTCACACTGTATCACTCGCGACATATTCGAACATTAAACATTTGCGCAACATAAAGACGACATCTTCAAATACTACAACCGTCTTCTCTGACTTCTGATGATCGACTGACCACGAGGCTAGCTCGGGCTTCGCCTCGCTTACTCCAACGGCCACAAGTATCTCGTGCCGTAACTTGTAGCACGGACTTCCTGCTTGCCACAATGTACTCGTGGAGACCATGCAAAGCAGGGTCATCACAACAGTGTTGGCATAAATGTGCTGTTTATAATCTGCTTCCTGGTGCTTAAACTTACATTTGGATGTTCTAATAATGGTGTCAGTATATAAGTGCACTGCCTCATTAGCATCTTGTTTCTTTTTCCTTATCTGTCCTGCCATTCTTCGAGAATATACTTCCTAGATATTTAAATGATCTAACTTGCTTCAGACAAGCACCATTCAACCCATTATATTTAAATAGTATCCCTCTTTATCTTCATTTTCTGTGTGTATGATACGTTGTAATGTTGATAACACATAATGTGTACAGTATCAAGCTTCAAGGTTTCCCATTTCCTAAATTATTGAAGACATAGGAGGAAGGATAGCAAATGTCACTGTATAATTCTGTTTGTTTTTCTTGTTCTACGCATTCAGCATTTGTAAACTTTGGCAGAAAGTTCTGGTTGTTCATCCACTTTTGGACTTTTGTCTTGTTCCAGAACTTGAGTTTTGCATGTACACATGTTTTACAGACCTGGCTGTGTGTAGACTGTTGGTTCCTCGCCTCTGAGCCAAATGTACTCTAACTTTGAGGAAATCATCCCCAGTGAGTTAGTTGCTTTTATGACATTATTTTTTTGTGGTGGGGAAAGGGGGGGGGGGGGGGGGTCTGTGTTTTTTTTGCCCTGAAAATGAGGCCCCGGAACCCACAAGTGGGTTTCTGTTTGTTTTATTGTAGAAAGTAGCTTTTTTAGGAGGCTCTGCATAGTGTTTTTGTTAAAAAAAATTTTTTTGCCTTAAAAAGGGGATTACAATCTGTGTTATCATCATCAAGTGCCTTGCTGGCTGGCTTGGGCGATCATGCCTCTCAACAATCTGCGATCTCCTGCAGCATGCATTAGTTTGTGTGCTGACACACCTCCATGCCATGCAACAAGACTGTCAAGAATTCTTCCTCGTTGTCTTCCTTTAACCTTCCTTCCACAGATCTTTCCAATGGTCACAACATGTTCCATTTTCCCTCTTCTCATAACATGGCTGAAAAATTATGACTGTCTCCTTCTGATGTCTGTGATCAGTTGTCTTCAGGCTCACGTCTCCTTCAAACCCTCTTGGATGCTCTTTTTGGCTATCCAAGGTATTTGAAGCATTCTTCTGTAAAACCACATCTCTGAGGCCTCAAGAAATTGTTTGGCCTACCTACCGATTGTCCAGGACTCACAGCCATATGTTAAAACTGGATGTATGTAGCAAGCAAGAATTCTTTTTGTAACCATCAACAACAGAGATATATTACATAAGATGTTCTTTATTATATAAAATGCAGTTTTTACCTGTCCTATTGTGTTTCTTATCTTGGTGATGCATCTTCCATCTAATGTTATCCATGTGCCCAGATACTTAAATTTCTGTACTTGTCCCAAAATAACAGCACTGACTTTTATTCCACATTTAGGAGCAATTCTGTTCTTTGATACCACATCTGTGTTATATGGCATTATAATCGTACCTCTTATCTTTCATTGTGCAGACAAGGGAAAGCTTTGAATGTACAAAGGATGAAGCCCAGATACTGATGAGCAAAATGCTGAATGAAAACAAAGGCTTGGTAAGTTTTAATTGAGCCTGCAATAGATAATATCAGTCACTGTCTGTGGCTTAGACATTGTGAACACTATTTATAATTATAAAATACCAAGTTCATTACCAGCTGCGGGTAGTTTGACAGTAGAATGCTTTCCGTTGATTTTTGACAACGGTTTTGAGAGTTTTGACTGTTGAGGAAGCAATGGCCGACTACTGAATGTAAAACCAAACAGCCAAACCCTTATTAATTTTTTGAAATTATTACTAAGATATATGCTTTTTAAACATAGCTTTTAATGAGTGCACAGTTTTTTTTTAAACTATATGTTTTGAGATTTTGAAATTGACTCACCCTGGTCACTGCCACACTTGAAGAAAATTGCTGTGGATATGTGGATAAAATATTTAAGAGAAGGGGATGGTGGAGTACAGACAACTCAGTTGCCTAATTCCTGGGAGATAATTTCGTTGTGGTTTCCCCTTGCATTCTATATCCAGTCTTTTTGGGATGTCCACCCATTTTTTTTAACCAAAACTGTAAATTGCCTGGGTTGGTGAGTACCTAAAGTGTTGGGATATATAATATTAAATACAAATACAAGAGAAATAAAACTCTTTAATTAACGTCTTAAATCCCAAACAGTTTTTACTTCAATCCCTTCTATCTCAGGGGTTGAATTTAAGTGCAGTAAATACTTAGATCTGCGGCGTCTGTGGCTAAGGCGTTGCGAGTCCGACTCGTAAGCCAGCATACCGCGATCGAAACCCACTGCAGGCTGCGTGGATTTTTAACGTGGTATGGGACGTCGCAGGTCGACCCAGCCTAAAATGGGTACCAGGATGGGCTGTCCTGGGAAAGTAAAGACAGCCGGCGTAATGCTGACCACATTACCCACAGAGTGCTGATGGTCTGCAAAAATATGGGACGCTCTGCCCATATGCCCGATCCGCCGAAAGGCGGGAAAAGGGAACTTTACTTTTTACTTTTTTAAAAACTTAGATCTGATGGGACAGAAACAATAAATTGTGACACACATTGACAAGGCATCAGCAGCTTTTAAAAGCTTGAGCAAAACATTCAATACTAAATTATACATTTTTAGAACCAAGTTAAGAAATTTTCAATTAAAATGTTTCTTCATTTTTATCATAGGCCATTGAGAGTTCGGGAATCACTTCAAACATTGAATTAAAGTTGAATGCTTTAAAAAATTCCTGGCAAAAAAATTAAGAATGTGAGAAAGATTGAATTCAAGAGGAATAAAGAAACTAAAGAAATATCTGAGGCAACAACTAGTGTCAACAGTTTGTGATGAAGTGTCTAGGGGTGAATGATTATGCTTCACAAATATATGCAAAAGTTCCCAAGTCAACTGTCGAACAGCTAATTGGGTTCCCTACCAGAGAGTGCTTAACTAACACGGTTCACATAGACACATCGTACAACTTACACCGATAACCGTCAACAGCCAACCACATCAACAATACGGGAAGAGTCATCTCTATAAACGTGCATCAGTCTGTTTATTAGGACGAAACACAGTATGACGATGAAGATGAATTGGTGACTACCGAACTATTGTTCGTCTAATACCCTAAGATACTCATTGATCTGCCTCCAAGGCAGTGTCACCTCAAAGGGGAACACCTAGCCTCGACTTGACGTGACTCCACAACACAAGACACCTTCGGCCTACGGGCCTGCTCCTGGTGTCACTGGTAGCTTTTCATAAACACCACGGTTATGTGCCCACTCTGTGGGTCACCTATAACCGGCCATAACGGACTAGAGACGTTACACACAGCGATACGCCTCCACGACACGCAGTAATGAGTCAGCCTCCAATGCGATTAGGGACACATCCTCACAATTGGATCATAAAGAGATGTCGGGTCCTCATCGCCTTGTCCCTATTAATTACACTCAACTGGTGCATTCTATATTATACATCAAATTCTAATAAATCATCCAACTCTCACCGGAATAACATGATACCTCCCAATTACGAATAAAGTCACACACATCAATCTCTACATACGTCCGCACTATCTTAACAACTGAGAGGCACTGACTGGACACGGGCTAACTTTCAGCTCAGCGGCTAATCATGCATGGGTCTTGCAAAACATGCGAATCCGCTGTCTCTCGCTAAATTTGACAAACACTCGTCTCTCAGTTTTACTGTATGGATCTTTTGCACTGGCCTCTGCCAACATCATCATCATCCAGCGCCTTTACGACTGGCGTAGGTGATCACGCCTCTGACGTCTGGTACATTTCAACAGCAAAGTGAGTTTAGCACACAACCCAGTTATGAGGCAGAGAAGATGGCATAATATTATACACATTTTGTGAAGTGTGAACAGAGAATCACCAAACAGGCACTGAAATGGGAAATAGTTGGATTGAGGAAATGAGGAAATCCAAAAGAAACCCAAAGTCGAATGTTTAAGAGAGAGGCCAGTGGTGCTGGACTGGATTCCATCCATGATATTGAAGTGATTGCAGAAGATAGAACAGAATGGAGAAATACAGGACCGAAACATATTCGTAGGATTTTCACTTTAGCTTGTTAGTAAATTGATGCATAACAAGATAGATATTGTAAGGGCCCTTTGGTAGTGTTAAACAGCGTGAAGGCCACATAGATCATAACGGTATGAAGAATATGGCCAATGCTCAAAACACAGGCAAGGGGTGATACAGACATACAGTCAGACTGTTACTGGTACCATCAGAATTGGAACTGTGTGCTGAAGATGAGGACGGAGTGCTTATAGAAATGTCCTGAGTTCTATGATGTCAGTTCAGAAGTCATGACTGGCACCTTTCCGTCTTTCCAGACAGTTGTGTTATATTGTGTTACGAGGAGGCGTGGGACTCACAGCCCATGGCGAGTGTGACTAGCAAGACCCTCCCGCGTTAGGAAAAATGTTCAGTTATAGTATGGGTTTTCAGGACATTTGTTGTTCAACATTTGTGTTTAATATGTTTCTTCTCAGACGCTCTGCTCTCATGCTTTCTGCAGTATTTTCTTTCTTCATTCTCATTCCCTTCCTGATGGGCCCCCTCCACACAACACAGTCCATGGCATTTTGTTCCCACTAGTCCGCCTCAGTACCTGTATCATTCATGTCCCTCTTGCACACATCTTTATAACGTAGTAGAGGTCAGCCTCGACATCTTCTACCCATCTTAACTCATAACTGTTAACCTTTTAGCTGATGCTGCCATAGAGGCTTCATACCCCTGTATTGAACCATTCACTCATAAAATGCCATATTTTAATTTGATATTAACATTTGTATAGCTTCACATTTTAACACTGAAATATTTAGCTCAAGCCTGTTCAACTGGCAGCCCATGGGTTGCATCTGGCCCGCGGAGGCCTAGCATGTAGCACGCGGGTCATTTCCAGTTGTATTGTATTAATGATCTTTCTATACTGGGGCTCCGCCCTCTGGCCTCGGATGATCCCCATTGATGACATTTTGGTCCCTGAGTAAATTTAGTTGTATAACCCTGCTCAATGAGTTTTCACTGCTAGACATTACATACAACAATTAATATTAAACTTGTTGCTTCTTGCATGCTTGTGTCTGTGTGTGCATGAACACGCACATGCACACAGCATTTTGCTGCGCAGTGGGTAAGACATTACTTCTACGCTAGCAGAAACCGTGTATACTTATTTAATTGTTTCTTTCTTTATTTTTTTTTATTTTTTTACCGTAGAATTTGCTTCTATTTTTGCTACATCATTTATTGATACTATGCAAGAGTCACCCCAGTGCAATTTTTAGGATTGTTATTTGTCACTTGATTATATCTCGAAGGCACAATTATGATTTCCAACTCTAGTTAGGTTAAAATGAAGTACAGTAAAACTTTGACTTGCTGTCAGTTTCTGCCATGTCATCGTCTTAAAAAAATTAACAAACAAAACCAAATCCTGCGAATCAACAGTCAGACATCTTTAAAATTGTCCATGGCAGAAACAGTGTTACCAAAGTGCATCAAATGGTTTGAAGTGCAAGAGAAAGCAAATAAAACACAGATCCTATTTCTGTGTGGGATACGGAACATTGCAGTGTAGAAAACTATAGCCTGAAAGGCACAGAAGGGGATGACAGATTATTTTAAAGTCACATAAGTTTATAGTATTTCAATACATTTCTAAAAAATTAGTACTCTTATAATGAAGTTTGTATTGAGAGATTTCTATTATCTGTCTGGTTATCCATCACAGTCATGATCTAGATGGTGACGGTTAATTAGGGTTTTATTGTACTGCTTTTTACACAAATTGTCGGCTCTGTGGCTAAGTCGATGCGAACACTTCGCTTCGTAATGCCGGGATGCCAGGTTCGATCCCAGCTGCGGGCAGTGCGCCTTGCGTTGGTTTCGACAGTGGTATCAAGAAAGCCGACCGTCCAGGAAGCAATGGCAAACTACTGGACGTAAATGTGCCTAGAGAAACCACACAACAGCCAGGGGCTGTTAGGGTTGGTTCTGCAACGTCCTCTAGAGGATACGCAACAACTTTTTTTACACAAATTACATTTGCCACTTTGTCAAAGAAAAATGTTCAAACACGATTTTCTTGAAACAAAGATTTAGCACTGAGGTGACTGTGGCATTCATTCATTCATTCATTCATTCATTCATTCATTCATTCATTCATTCATTCATTCATTCATTCATTCATTATCCTGTTGTGCCATTATATGACATAGAGCTCACAGTCTATTCCTCCATTCCATCTTTCTTGTGTAATCAGTTAAATATCATGGATAGAATCCAGTCCAGCAGCTTTGGCCTCTCTCATCAACGTTCATCTTTGGGGTTTCTTTTGGGCGTCCCTGCCTCCTTAATTCTTTTTTTCCCCTCCTGTAATGCTGACTTTGGCATAGTGTGGATATATTCACTGTTGCTTTTTATACATTTTTTGCAAAATTATTACTGGAAATTAAAAACTAAACTAAGAAAAGAAAAGAGAAACTAAAATGTGAGAACATTGACTATAATACTCATCATTCTTTTATGGAGCCTGCTTTCAGGCACAACAGTTTCACTTTTAAGTCATGTCATTCTAACTGTTGTGTGATTTATTTGGTTTCTGCCTTCTGTTTTGCTTGAACGTCATAGTTTTGATTGTCCCTCTTTGTGTTCTGGGGTTCCATTTAAGGGATATTGGCCCCTAGCAATCATATCATAAAAAGTGACCAAGTAAGGGTTTTATGAAATCACGTGTCTTATTCTCATGTAGATTCCGGAGCCTCGTTGTTGGGAGGGGCAGGGGGACAAAGAATAGACCAGCTGCCCCCTCCCCCACTTCTCAAGCAAGCATTCATAAAAGTTGACTAATTAATGGTGTTTCCTTTTGGAATCATAGGGCATCTGCTCTTTGAGATGAAGAACCAATAGATACAAATATGCTAGATCTGTAATTCGGGTGTGTGTACACAGCACTCAAGTTCTGTAAGAAGATTAAAGTCCAGAAGTGGACAAACTACCAGAAATTTCCACCGGAGTTTACAGCCGTTGAGCATGAGGACGAAGAAGAAGATTTATGGGCCATAGGAGGGTAGATATCTCAGCCTAGGTGTAAACCACAAATGTATGTACAGCCTTTTTTTTTAAGGGGACCACAGAAGAACAAGATACTTTACATACAAAATCTGAAAGTTTTGTTGTTGTTGTTGATGTAATTGCTAGTGTGTTTATTTTCTGTATGCTTTCACATAATTATTCTTTTCATGTGCTTCTAGCAGTAGATTGTTAATGTGTCCATTGTTTTAAAGTTCATATTTGTTGATAGACAGACACACTTGGAGTAAGAGGAGTAAGAAGGAAGGAAAGAAATAGATACTAGATGTGTTTAAGGTTCTTTAGCTCTTTCAACACCAGAAGCAAATGCCCAAGTAAGGTAACATTCTCCCAGTGTGGGTTCCGGGGCTCTGTTATAGGAAAAACAAGAATAGACCCACTGCCTACCCAAAAGCATGTCGTAAGAGTCGATTAATTGGGAGCTTCCTTCAAAGTCGGAGTGCTTTCTGCCAGAGTTTACAGCTGGTGAACGCAAAGAAAAAGAAGAAGTAACATTCTGAATGCTAAATGGGGACAAAGCACTATGGAAATGGCTACTTGGGTAACATGCTCTAACCAAATTGAAACTGTAAGAGAATACATTATTCACTGACTGTGATGTACCAGGAAAATCCCGTCACACACTATGCGTTGTTTGGACTGAAAGAGTTAGTGAAGTTATGGTTGTACTGTAAGGTGATGGGTTTGAGTCCTGTGCATTCGTAGCCTTCAGGTTTTGCTGTTGTTGTCTACTAACAGGGATAGCAGATAAGAATTAAAGGTTAAGCTGATGTCACAGTGGAGACGAAACAGAAAAAAAAAAAGAAACATATCATTATACTAATTTAGGTAACAACTTTGATTGCTAAGACAATATGAAGAAAAATTATGATACCTATTTGCAGGGCTAAATTCCCAAAATATGCGAATTAAAGGTTTTTATTAGCATTGTTTTTTTCTTTTTTCTAGGTCACCAAGGTGAAATGGTTAAGTTAGCAGTTGCTCAGTCTCTCTTTACAGAACAGCTAGCTGGCTGCCAAGAGCATTGCAAAAAAACACAAACTCTGTGACTGTAGTGATGTTCATAGATATTTCCTTTAAAAACTTTTTTCTTTCAAAACTGCATTTTTTAACAGAATGATGCATTGATTAAACTAACCCATAACCTTTAGAGCCCATAGACAAATGCTTGACCTTCACCATGAACACCCTCTTTTTTATCTTCATCATTTGTAATTCCTTAGCCGCGGTTCCAGTATCTCTGCAGAGAGGTTTTCCCATAGCTTCTCGGTTTTTGTGCCCATGAATTGACACAAAATTTCCTTCAGTGTCCCATTTGAAATCTAGTAAAACATTTGCCGGTCCCAGGAAAATCTTGACACTTGCACATGCAAAGTAATGATGCAGAAGGCAGCTGTCAGATGTGCCAACACTAACAGTCCCACACCAGAATTTGTAAACAGGCTTAAACTTGAAGCACAGAGGGAGCCAGGTGGCATGTATCAAGTTTTCCTGACAGCATTGATAGTTGAGTTGAGTTCAGTTGAGTCAAGAATTGACATCACATCACTCAGGGCATTCCCATGTGTGCTCTGTCCTCAACATGCGGCCAGCGCAGAGTTCCAATGCTGATGGTACTGGTCACAATCTGGTTATATGTCCGTCTTGCCTTTCCTCTGAGTGTTGTGAGCCGGCCAGACCCTCTGGTTACACCCAGGTGCCTCATTCTCTCCAGGCCATAATAATCTTCTTTCTCTACTGATTCCATTGCTTGTTCCCAAAGGGTCTTGACTACATCTGCCTTGTCATGTATCAGTTCAACATCCAGTGGTGCAGATCCCACTAATCTGTCTGCCTGTTCATTACCCACTGCGCCAGCATGGTCTGGAGAAAAGATCCAAAGTATGCTCACTACCAGTGACCTTTCCAGTGAAGCTCGCCACTCTGCTCGAAGCATTCATGTCTTCACCTTTCTTAGTATGCTTTCAGAGTCTGTTACAATTAGGACATGTGTATGACAGCATAGATAACAGTCATTTAACAATAAATGTGGACATGAATAGTGTGAGATAACTAACTAATTGTGAATCTTATTTCAGAAACCCCTTGACCAGTCAGGTACTCTGAAAGGATTTACCAGGCAGGGATACCTGTACTTGATGGAAAAAAGTAAGTGACGATATCCTGGACACGATTTTCTTCTGCTAAATGTAATGGACTTACTTGCTTACTTACCAGTTCGTTGCTCATATGTTTGAATCTTTATCAGATTTTAAACATTATTCTGGGCTCTCTCAGGTTGACTGAACCTAAAATATGTGGGGGTGGGTAAAGAATAGACTGACTGCCATTGTTATAAGTAGGGGAACCATATTACCGGCACTGTTGTTTTATTTTTATGAAGGCCCAAACTGTCCCGTCAATAGTTCGGAAAAAAAAAAATAAAGGATTTATGGTCACCTTGCTAATAAACATGTTTTAAGAGGTGACTGTGTAGGGGTGTTTTGTTTGAGGTTGGAGTGCATCTGCCTGAGAGGCAAGTAACTAGTAGTCTGCATACAAATAAGCCAGATCTGTAAAACAGATATGCACACAAACTCAAGTTGTAAAAGAAGACCAAAGTTCATAAATGGATGAACAACCAGAACTTTTCTTACAGCCAGTAAACACTAAGAAGAAGAAGATTTATCGCTATAAAATTGCTTTTGGTTTTTATTTATGTGTGAATTTGGTGCCGGCTATCATTATGTTTCTTTTGTTTGTTTACACAGAGGCCCTAGGCACAACAGCTTGGACAAAATATTACTGCCAGTATAAGAAGGAAACCAAGGAATTCTATTTGATTCTGTACAACCAGATGGGTGGAAAACTGGTTAGTTGTCTCAGACTATCATTTTATAAATGTGTTTACATGTTTTGTATTGTTACTAAATGACTTGGCTCCCAGGTTGACTCACTAAATGACCTTGGCTCCCAGGTTGACTCACTAAGTGACCTTGTCTCCCAGGTTGACTCACTAAGTGACCTTGGCTGCCAGGTTGACTCACTAAGTGACCTTGGCTGCCAGGTTGACTCATTAAGTGACCTTGGCTGCCAGGTTGACTCATTAAGTGACCTTGGCTGCCAGGGTGACTCACTAAATGACCTTGGCTCCCAGGTTGACTCACTAAGTGACCTTGTCTCCCAGGTTGACTCACTAAGTGACCTTGGCTGCCAGGTTGACTCACTAAGTGACCTTGGCTGCCAGGTTGACTCACTAAGTGACCTTGGCTGCCAGGTTGACTCACTAAATGTCCTTGGCTCCCGGGTTGATTAGCCTTAAATAGGAAGTAAAGCTGGGAAGTAAAAGCGACCAGCGTGATGTTGACCACCTCACCCACCAAGTGCAGATTGGTCTGTAAAAATACGTCTAGCCCAATATGCCTACTACCCCAGAAGGTGTGGAAACAAGATCCTATATTGTCATTGAATCAGTGAATACATGAATGAATGAATCAAGAATTTACATTAAAAGTCACCTATGTTACCCGCTCAGTGTTGAATATTGTCCTTTCCTCCCCCGAGATCCATTAAAGGGAAAATGGATTTTAAAAAGCATAAATCATACTGTCTTCTGAATGACCAAGAATTAATTGTAAATAACAATTGTTTTATTCTGAACAGTCAAGAGTTAATTTATTTAATAATTAATTTTCTGAAAAATAATGGTCCTGTTTGTACGCCTTTAGGCGTATTGGAAATATCGAACTAGACCTAGATTTTTTATAGACCAATCGGCACTTGGTGGGTGATGTCGTCAGCATCACGCCAGCCGCCTTTACTTCCCAGGACTGCACCTGGTACCCACTCAAGGCTTGGTCGACCTGGGAGTTAAGGTCATGTTTGAAAAAATGTCCAGCTCTGTCAGGACGCGAACCTTCGAGCTTCCGATTTGCAGGCGGGTGTCTAGCCACCAACGCCACGGCGACTCCCTTAATTTTCTGAAGGAAGGAAATGTTACTTTTATGTAATCTGTGTTTTATTTCCTGAGGTAATTGTCTTCACTATATCTGTTTTGCAGAACGAGCCTGAGAAATACACCCTGGAGAAATGTGTCAGGTTAGTTCAGTAGACATGTGTAACTCAGCAAAGATCATTATCATCATCATATCAAAATCCCATAACACATTATTTTGAATTGGTCCATTGATCTTGAGTTTGTATGTTTAAAGCCTGTCCATTCAGCCAATTTATGTATGCGCTCTTTCTTGGTTTGTCTCTTATTTTTTTTTTTTTTCTACTGAGGTCTATTGCATGATTTTAGAGAGGCTGGTAGATCTTGTTACATGTCCGTACTGTTGCGTTTTCAGTCTGTGCGCATTTGTTAAAATAGGTTTATAGTTGCCATTGGTTTGACGATGATATGGCCCACTTTGTTATTTGTGATAGGGTCTTTATAAACAGAAAAACTTTCAGAAGTATCTCATTTTAGGTGTTTGTATTTTCCATTCAAGTTTGGATGTTAACTCTTTCAAAGAAAGCTTTGAAAAAAATACAGGTGGATACAGGCCATTAAATTTTGTGATGAGATGCAGTGCATGGTCTCCATGCTCACAGCAAGTGGAGCAGAAAATCAGTGCCACAAACGACCGCATGAGATACTTGGGGCTAGAAGGGTAAGCCAGGGAAAGTCCCATGTTGACTCATGGTCAGTTAGGCATCAGAGTTGGAAGAGGACAGTCGTGATGTGGTCAGTGTAGATTAAATGAAGTGTAGTCACTGTTGAGTAAATGATTATTGTGACAAAGTTGTGGAAATGAACAGCGATGATTGGGGTTGAGTAATTGTGATGGAATAGGAAAAATAAACTGGCAGAATGTATACGGGAATTCAAGCAGCAATCCAGTGGCATTCCAGCGTTGTTGAAAGCTGTATTTGATCCAGAGTAAATGAGCTAAATTAAAAGTGCCCCAGCTTTCTTACAAAGTTGCATTGGCTGTGAAGCACATAGGGCTGGGGAATTGGCAAGAGAAAAAGAGAGACTTTTGGCCGTTGCTGTGATAGTGACATTCAGTAGAGAACCTGCTGATTGATGATGATGAATCATTTAAGCAACATGTGTGTACTTGTGCTTTTTGCACCTGTCTCTTTCTGATCGATAGTGCTCCAATATACTAGGCAGGGGAATCACAGCCCGTGATGATAGCATGTTGAATTGTGGGTTAGGAATTGACATTTTAGCACTTGGGGCACTCCCATACATACTCTGCCCCCCACCCCCTCCCCATCTTTAGCAGCAAGCAAAGAGTTCCAGTTCTGATGATACCAGTAACTGTCTGATCCTTCCCCTTGAGTGTTTAGCATTGGCCAGATCCCCTAGTCACTCCTCACTGCGTTATTCTTCTCAGACCGTAATGATCTGTTTGTGCCTCTGCACTGTTCGCTCACTCCCAAAGGACTCCCACAACATTTAGCTTGTCGTGCATCAAATCATTACCAAGTGGTGTGGAACCGGCCAGTCTTATCTGCCTGCTCATTTCCCAAAAATACACTGGCATGACCTGGAGACCATGATGATGGCAAATGAGTTGAGTTGAGTTAAGAATTGACATTGCAGCACTCTGGGCATTCCCATGCGTGCTCCGTCCTCATCTTTGGCAGCCATTGCAGAGTTCCAATACTGATGGTACCGGTCACAATCTTAAATGTCCGTCTTGCCTTTTCTCTGAGTGTAGTAAGTCGGCCAGACCTTCTAGTTACACCCAGTTACCTCATTCTCTCCAGGCCATATTTTCTTTCTCTACTGATTCCATTGCTTGTTCCCAAAGGGCCTTGACCACATCTGCCTTGTCATGTATCATTTCACCACCTAATGGTGCTTATCCAGCCCGTTCATTACCCACCACGCTGGCATAGCCTGGAGAAAAGATCCAAAGTATGCTCAGTACCCATGACCTTCCCAGTGAAGCTTGCAGCAGTGCCAATAAATTTATAACTAGTTTCTTCAGCTATACTGAAGGAAGCATATTAATTTTCTTCTTCTTCTTTTCTTCTTCCTCCTACTTATTTTTCTTCTCCTCCAATTTCTTCTTATTTAGAGATTGATTGTTATCTTTGTCTCATTATCTTTCAGACGAGCCTCAGATACAATAGAAAGGCGGTTTTGTTTCGATGTGACATTGAAGGAAAAGTGAGTCATGTTTCCAGATTTACCATCATTTCCTGTAGTCAGTGTCGTGTTGCTGTTCAGTGTTTTGCTGATTTGTGTAGTACAGAGTATCCAACATGTTAACTTTACACCTTTTATCTGATGTAAGGAAGAAAATTAACCAGAAAATGTACATATTTCAGTTTTTGAATATCTTTACTGTTGTCATGAACATTAGAAAAAGAACATTTAGTTCTAATTTGTGGGGGGGGGGGGGGGGGGGGGGTGCGGTGGGATGGAATATATGACAACCAGAAAGAGAAATAGCAGAAAACAACAAAAATATTCATGACAGATTTTTCTCATAGCATGGGATGGTGTCAGCACATGAAATGATACATGCTTTTGGTGATCTCAAGATGTGGACAAGCATCGTCACTGGCACCAGCCAGCATAGTACTTAATAATGATGATGGTAACCTGGTTGACTTCACCTATAAAATAATTTTCTATGCTTGTTTCTTTAGGTAATTCTCTGTATCATTATAAATCTGTTAGTGTTAAAGCTGTAAAGAACATTTTTGGATGGCCTGTATTTGTATGTGTAGCAGTGTGTTCATTGTGCTTTTTGCATAATTCATTTGTTGGTAGCATGTTCATTCATCTCTTGGTATGAGGGTTTATATTTTCTATAGCAAAAATAAAAACAAAGAGAGAGAGAAAGAGAGAGGGTGAGAGCGAGAGGGTGAGAGAGAGAGAAAGAGAGAGGGTGAGAGCGAGAGGGTGAGAGAGAGAGAAAGAGAGAGGGTGAGAGCGAGAGAGAAAGAGAGAGGGTGAGTGAGAGGGTGAGAGAGAGAAAGAGAGAGAGGGTGAGAAAAAGAGAGAGAGAGAGGGTGAGAGAGAAAGGATCACCATTATCATATGTCTTGCTAGGTAATACAGTCAGGTCCTTCATAACAATCTGGTACTGGAACTGAAAGCACACAGAGAAGGGAGCTGGTGTAGAGAAGTTGAAAAGATGAGGAGGACATGAGGTGAGCTGCATGTAGTAGCGAAGCATAGAGCGACCTGCCATTAGTTAGGCTTATGCTGCATTAGAGGATAGAAAGCGAAGCAAGAGGAGTGGTATAGTTTCCGTCTTGGGCCAAGCATGCTTTTGGAATCTTTAGAAGCTGAGTAGAAGATTTTGGGTGCTAATTGTCTACTGAGATTTGTGGTCAAGGCCCTTAAGGAACAAGCAACGGAATCAGTAGAGATAGAAGATTATTATGGCCTGGAGAGAATAGGGCACCTGAGTGTAACCAGAGAATCTGGCCGGCTCACTACACTCAGAGGAAAGGCAAGAGGGACATATAATCAGATTGTGATTGACGGGTACCATCAGTGTTGGAACTCTGCGCTGGCTGCTGAAGATGAGGATGGAGCAGGCATGGGAATGCCCCCAGTGCTGTGATGTCAATTCTTGACTCAACTTAACTATCTACTAAGAGCATGGAGAATTTCTCTATCTATCTTGCAGTTCAACACCATGCATGTTTTCAGTCCTGACAGGCTTCGTCAGAACAGAGGCTGTCCACTGCAAGATGTTTATGAAAATACAACCATTTAGGAGCTTTGAAGCTTGTCATAATTAATTGATGGTTGCATCATCAGATTTTGGTCAACATTTTAATGGTAATGCGTGGATCTCTTTTGGGAGCCACTGGTGCAGCGGATAGATGATCAACTGCAGGTTCAAATGTTTTGAGTTCAGATCTGAATGGAACCGGACTTTACAACAAAAAATAAAAAAATGAACCGGCCTTGGCACCCACTTCAACCCAGCCTTTAGGTTAGATCCTAGGAAGTAAAAGTGGCCGTGGGATGTTGGTCACCTCACCCACCGAGTGCTGATTGGTTAGTAAAATATAGGTCTAGCCCTATATGCCGAATACATCTCAAAGCGTGGACAAGGATCCTTTACTTTTTACATTTAGGGGTCTCTCTTGTAAAATCATTACACCGTTTGTCTTGTTCGATGAAGGGCACAGGTTTTCTTCATGAGTACAGGTTTTTCAGTGGTCCTTTGAGCTCATTGCTGGAGCTTCAGAGTTGATGCTATATGCACCGCTCTTGGTCAATGAAAAGCTGCTCTGCGTAAAGAGCCATACCATGTATGATAATTCCTAGTGCAGTGAAGTTGATCCTCTTTCTTTTAAACCATTAAAATTAATATATTAACAAGAGCTTGTTGATTGAGCCTCTGTTGCACTAACTAATACTAATGAATTGATTAACATCACACTTTTGATTTAATTAACACACTCAAGTTCCATTAATTCATAATCTCTTTAAATCACCACTAATCACTGGCAGCATTAGAGCTAATAGACTGAAATGGTTGGGGCATATTGAAAGAATGTCAGATGACAGAGAAGTAAAAACTGTATACACAAAGGAGATGAATGATAGTAGACCACGAGGCAGACAAAGAAGATGGTGAGATAATGTCCAGACAGACCTGCAAACACTTGGTGTAACCAACAGGAAAGAGAAAGCCAACCAGAGAGATGAGTGGAGGTGGGTGATATCTGCAGCAATGAACCTCAAGGGCTCAGAATGCTGAAGAAGAAGAAGTTCCGTTTAATTGATATAAAACTCATTATGACCTGTATTTACCACTTTTTCAGTCTGGGCGCAGAAAAAGGCTGTGGGGGGGGGGGGGGGGGGGGGGAGGAGGGGGGGGGGGTGGGGGGGTCTTTGTGCCTAGTAGTTTAGAGCCACATGGCTAATGCTAACACTACAGACAGTGTAGGTTAGGATTTTATTTTTGCTCCCAGCTTTTAGAAGAGAAAAAATACCAGATAATCATACTGAGGAATTGAACTTGGGTCTCCTGCAGGAGAGTCCAGCATTCTTAACCTTTTGGCCAGCCGCTCCTAATTAATGGATATCTTCTTCTTCTTTTCTCTTATCCTGGAATGCCTCGCGGCGTCAGGGCAGGAAGAGATCTTTGGAACTGATCTTTCTGTTCGTTTCCTATAAAGTATTTTAATGGACATAACTATATTTAAATGTCTGTATAAAACACAAACATTTTAGAGTTTACCACGTCCTGTTTCTGTATAATAAAATTGTACTTATACTATTTATGTTTCACTTTAATGAATGCAAAGAGCTGTTCTGTAACTGGTTTGCAACTGTGGGTGGGGAAACTCAACTGAAGTAAAGTGAAGTGAGAAAACTTATCACACCATTGACATATTGGTCATACGGTCTTAGATGCTTGCCTACCGGTCCAGAGATCTTGAGTTCAAATGTTGAATGTTGAATTAGGAATCAGCATCATAGCACTAGGGACATTACCATAAGCGCTCCGTCCCCATCTTCAGCAGCAAGCGAAGAGTTCCAATTCTGATGGTACCAGTAACTGATTGAATGTCCGTATCAACCTTTTCCTTAAGTGTTGAGCGTCGGCCAGATCCCCTGGTTACTCCTCGCAGCATAATTCTCTCAGATCGTAATGATCTATCTGTGCCTCCACATTGTTCACTCACTCTCAGAGGGCCCTCACAACATCTAGCTTGTCATACACTTGAGTTCAAATCAGCATTGAAGCAATATTTATTTTATAACTGACCTGTCTCCCATATCTACTTAGTCTAAAATGGGTACCAGGAAATGTTACGAGAAGTAAAGGAAGCTAACGTGATGTTGACCATGTCATCCAGGAAATACCAGTTGGGCTAGTCAAAATATGAATCTTACAAGCACATGCCCAATGTGCTAGGATGTGCCACTAGCATGAAAAGAGTCCTTTTTAAAAAAAAAAAACTTTTACATTTCTAATTATTTATTAAAATATTAGAGGTTGTAAGTAAAAAAAAAAAAGTAAAGATCCCTTTACACGCCCTTAGGCGCATCGGGCATATGGGAAGAGCACCCATATTTTTACAGACCAATCGGCACTCGGTGGGTAATGTGGTCAGCATTACGCTGGCCGTCTTTACTTTACCAGGACAGCCCATCCTGGTACCCATTTGAGGCTGGGTCGACCTGTGACGTCCCATACCACGATAAAACTCCACGCAGCCCACGCAGGTTTCGATCGCGGTACGTTGGATTACGAGTCAGACTCGCAACGCCTTAGCCACGGACGCCATTAGAGGTTGTGGAAAGATGATATTCTGACAGGTAATGAAAAGGGTGAGTGGAGTGAAAAATGATTTAGAACACCGTTGTACAAAACCGTTACTTTTCCTGATTACATTTCAAGTTAATTTAAGAAAGACGTAAAGGCTGTTGGAAAGGAAAAGTGTTATTTGATATGTACTCCCCTGTGTGGGTTCCGGGGCCCCATTGTGGGGAAAACAAGAATAGACCCACTGCCTCCCCAAAAGCATGTTGTAAGAGTCAACTAATTGGGGAGCTTCCTTTGAAGACGGAGTGCGTCTGCCGGAGAGGCAAGGAACCAACAGTCTGTATTCAAGAGAATGAGATCTGTAAAACTGATGCACACGCAACACTCAGGTTCTGGAGCAGGACTGCAATTCAGTAGTAGACGAGCAACCAGAACCTTCCGCCAGAGTTTACAGCTGGTGAACGCGAAGAAGAAGAAGAAGATATGTACTAAAAACATCAAAAAGATTGAGAATTGTTGTTATATTTACTTTTTCCTTTTATGTTTCGAGGTAATCTAAGAAAGAAAAAACTAAAGGTCGTGCAAAGATGATATTTTGAGAGGTGCTAAAAAGGGTGCAGAAAGTCACACACACAAAATTGTTCTTCTTTGTTTTCACCGGCTTTTCACTCCAGCAGAAGTGGACTTGAGTCATTTTCCAGAATCTGAGCTTTGCGTGTACATAAGATTTACAGATCTGGCTTTTTTTTTTTTTTTTAACTATGCCGACTGTTGGTTCCTCACCTCTCAGGCAGATGCACTCTGACTTCGAAAAAAAAAAGTGTTGAGAATCACTGTTGTATAGAAAAGGGAAAAAAAATGATGACTCTTTCTGATATTGTGATAAGTTGTCTTTGAAAGCCTGGACAATTAATAAACAAGC